GGGTTACCCACGGCCCCGCGGTGCGTGGAGCCTTCAGATGTCAAAGCCGGCTCTGCTCGAGGTGTGGGGGGATGGCAGCGGGCTGGGAGGCGAGGGCACCCAGGGGACCTCCCTGGCCTTGCGGTGCTTAACCCTTCGGTGCCTGGAAACGAAGCTTTCTGGCCCACGCAAGGACGGGCTGCGCAGGAGGCTGCGGCTCTGCCAGGAACCTCGCTGGAGAGAGCGCGCGGTTGAAGGGAGCGGGAGAGATGATAACGCGTTGCTTTTGACAGACCCACAACGGACAGCTGGAACCTCCAAGGGACACCACCGGGCAGAGCTTGGGGTGCTCGTGGCCCCTTCCCCATGCTCACCCAAAGCAATACATGTTTGATAGAGGGTTTCTCTGTGACAAAGAAAACCTGCTTCTCGGAGCCATCGCTACGGGACAGCTGCAGGCCGGGCAGAGCTTGGGGTGCTCGTGGCCCCTTCCCCATGCTCACCCAAAGCAATACATGTTTGATAGAGGGTTTCTCTGTGACAAAGAAAACCTGCTTCTCGGAGCCATCGCTACGGGACAGCTGCAGGGCCTCCCAGTTCTTCATCCGTTGCTCTTTCCTTGCCTCCTGTCTTTCTTGCCCTCTTTGCGTCGTTTCCAGCTTGGTGGGAAAGAGAAAACCTGTAGTCTTAAAGGGAGAGATCAGGGCGTTCAGAAAACGCCTCTGAAGATGAGCGGTACAGCGCCGGCACGGGGCTTCGCCTGCGAGGGGCTGGCGTTGCCCTGGCTGCTTTGCAGATGGCAGAGCCGCCGAGCCTGCCGAGTCCCATGGGAGATGCGTAGCAGGAGGAGGAGGCAGAGGGAGGAAAGTCTTAATCTCTAGCCCCGGGAGACTCGGGTGACTCAAAAGAAGCCAAGAAGTCTCCTGTGAGTTCGGCAGCAGGACTTGCTTCTCAGGGGAGGAATGCAGCTGTGGACAGATGTGGAGCATCCCGTTACCCTGGCACTGCCTCTGGAGCTTTGCATGGCAGCTGGAGACCCGCTTTCCTTTCAGACCCTGGAATGTCTCA